ATAAAGCTGATTATGATCTTTGGGCTGCTCAAGATCCTGAATACATTATTTGGAATTATGATCACTGCCTTGAAGGTTAACATTAAATAAATACATTCTAATTCTTGTGTGATATATATATATATTACTACATAAAAATTAATTTCTAAACAATTGCATTTAAACAAAAGCTTTCAAAGCAGTTGAAAATAATGCACGTAAAAATCCAGACGTAGAATTTGAAAATTATCATGGGTTCAATGGCTTGCTTTACGTACAAGATCCAGCAGTTGACGAATTTGATGTTTCTAAAGATGTTTTTAAAATCGCAAGAACATTTGGCATTCCTTATAATAAAGATTTCAATGGCGCTAAACAAAATGGAGTAGGAAGATACCAAGTGAGTGTAAAATAAAATTTTATAAATGTATTACGTGTTATGCTTTTAATATTGTTTTGAATTTTACAAATAGCTTACGATGAAAGATGGAAAGCGCTTTACATTGGCTGATGGTTATTTGAAAGATGCATTGAAAAAAGTTATAGTTTATCCTTCAAAACCATTTATTAAAGGACATCCTCATGCATCAGGCGATGATAATGTTGGCAAGTTTGTCGGAGTTAATGTTAAATGCTTTACTCACGTGTTAAATATTATTTGGAAGGAAGATGAAAATGTTGCAATTGGCGTGAGATATTCTTATAGTGGTAGAGATCGTAATTGTTATATTGCTCCAAAAGGTGAAGTTATTATTTGTGGTGGTGCTATTAATAGTCCGCAGGTAAGAATTAAGAGGAAATAATAATTTGTTCATGATTAAGCTGACGTTATATATTTTGATAAAAAAAATTTTTTTTAAACAAAAAGATTTTAATGCTCTCTGGAATTGGGCCAAAAAAAAATCTAGAAGATAATAATGTCAAAGTTCGTAAAGAATTACCAGTTGGACGTAATTTACGGGATCATCCTTATTGTATCATTACTGCCACAGTTTCTGTTCCGGGTAGTACAACTGGTTCTATATTGAATTATTCAAGTTTTGGAGTAGATTTTGTATCTTTTTATAAAGGAAACATTGAAGGAAAGATTCCTAGTCAAGAAGAATTTAATGATGAACGTCCTGACATTCAACAATATTGTAAGTTAAAATCTTGATAAAATATGTTTTTTTTTAGAAAAAATGCTTAGAAGTAATTAATTTATAAATTATAATTTAATAGCGGGAGCAGCCTTATTTGACAACGGCATTCTTGATGAGCATCCAACAGATCAAAAAGAATTTTATTCCATGTTAACGACTCTTAATATTCCATCAAGTGTTGGTCATTTGGAATTACGTAGCTCTGATCCATTTGCACACCCAAAAATATTTCTTAATTATTATGATAAACCCGAAGACTTGTATAGAATGATGAGTAGTCTTAAGTTATCACGTAAAATACTTGAACAACCTCCATTAAGTACTTATTGGGGTGTAAAAGTAATTGGATTAGATGAGGTGAATGATGATAAAGAATGGGAAAAATACATTCGTAAAAGGGTAAGTATAAAAAATATATCTAATGTATATTGTTA